CCTGAGGAGAGTGACCCAAGGGGGCCAGTGGCCTGAGGGAAGGGGCCTGAAGAGACCCTGAGGGAACCAGTGGCCAAGGGGGTCAAAGGGGCCAGTGGGCTGAGGGGATCAGCGGCCTGAGGAGAGTGACCCGAGGGGGCCAGTGGCCCGAGAGGATCACCCTAAGGGGACCAGTGGGCTGAGGAGAGTAACCCAAGGGGGCCAGTGGCCTGAGGGGACCAGTGGCCTGAGGGGACCTGAACCCTGGGGCAGCCAAGAGCTGGCTTTGGCCACAAGCCCACTGTCCCCACAAGCCACCGCGATCTAGGGCTGAGCTATAGCAGGGCAGAGGTCCCATAGGCTCCTGGTGTCACCTCCTGCGATGTGTTGGGGTGGCAGCAGAGGGTGCCACCAGGCCACCTCTGTCCTTAGAGCTCTCAGCAGCCAAAGGGATGGGGAAAAGATGAAAAACCTCGTTATCTACTAATTAACCTGGCAGTGCCAGGGTGCAGGACGAGCCTGTGGCCTCTCCCACCTCACCAGCACGTTCTCAAAGATGGTTTTTGCCATTTTTAAACTGAAGAATGAGGTAAAATGATGGTAAAAATCCAAATAAATGCTCACTCCTTTACAAAACAACAGGCTGTTAAACCTCTGCTGGAGCTTGCCATCCTCTGTGGCTCAAGGATTGTTTGAAAATACCTTGAATTTAGTAAAAAAACCAAGTAGGTAAAGCCTCAACCTCGGAAAATAGAGCAAAGCAGGCTGCGAGGGCCCTTTTTTGGGGTAAAAAAAACCCCCAGCTGTATCAGTTAAACGCACCATCACACTCTGTTCTTTTCCACCAGATGTTCTGCACCGCCGGGCAGAAAAACGAGCAGAAACCGCAACGAAGAGGAACTAACGAGCACAGCCGCCCCCAAAACCCCCTGCGAAGGACCACAGAGGTTTAAGCGACGGCCCCAGGACGTTGAAAGGAAGCGAGCGAGCTCCAAACAGGCACTTTTATTTGCGGTTGCGACGCCGACATCGAAGGCACCGGCGCACGCGGGGGACACCACGCGCCCACGGCTCCCGCCCGAGGTAACGTCCTCGCATAGGAGCCCCGGTGCACGGTAGGAGCGTTAATGCCTCTGAAACACATCTTAAACGTTCCATTTCTGGTTTCAGACTATCAACCTTGCAGCTTTTAGCAGTGTTTTGTAGGTTTTTTTATACTTGCCCTGGCCTGATTCAGGGAACGAATCGAAGCATGCGTGGTTTCTAAGGCCGAAAGTTGCGTCTCGGTACAGAAAAGAGCGCGGTTATTCCTAAAGACAGACTTTAAATACGCAGCTTTACACGGGAGACGCGCTTCGAGCGCGCGCTTGTGCGCAGAAACAACCCAAGGAGTGGAGCGAAGCCTTTCCCGACACCAGAATCCCGCCGGACAGCTGCCCTCGCCCAAATAGCTCTGATATTTTACCAAAAAACCCCTCGTTTACCTGAAGATTTCCCATTCTGCTTGGCTTTTTGCCCCTCTAGTGCTGTGTTCAGTTCTGGGCCCCTCACTATAAGAAGGATGTTGAGATTCTGGAGCGTGTTCAGAGAAGAGCCACAAGGATGGGGAGGGCTCTGGAGAACAAGCCTGATGAGGAGCGGCTGAGGGAACTGGGCTTGTTCAGCCTGGAGAAGAGAAGGCTGAGGGGAGACCTCATCACCACCTCCAACTGCCTCAAGGGAGCTTGTGGAGAGGTGGGTGCTGGGCTCTTCTCCCAGGCGATGGGGGATAAAACAAGGGGAATGGCATCAAGCTGTGCCAAGGGAGGTTCAGGTTAGAGAGAAGGAGGAAGTTCTTTACTGAGAGGGTCGTCAGAAGCTGGACCAGGCTGCCCAGGGAGGTGGTGGAGTCACCATCCCTGGATGTGTTTAAAGAGCGGGTAGATGAGGTACTTAGGGATATGGTTTAGGGGGTAGACAGGAGCGGTTGGACGTGATGATCTCAGAGGGCTTTTCCAACCGAGCCATTCTGTGATTCTGTGACTAAGAATCCCAAATTCTGCTCCTCCAAGACGGAGTTTACAGAGCGCAGCAGAGCCAAAGCCGCGTCCCGATAAAAAACAAACGCCTTTTGCTACATTTATCCTCGCCGCTTCTATTTCCAGACCTAAAAACCATAAATCTCTGCTGTGTTTTGGCCATTTATGCCAATAAATCAAGTTACTGATGACCCTCGGCTATTTCAGACAGCGTTTCCACAACCAAAAGTGTCTTGGGATACAAAGAGACCAGCTAAAAAAAACCTCAAGGAGCGAGCGGAAACATCCCCTCCCCACAAACATTTCCAACGGGAAATAAAACCACCTCAAAACTTCCACGGGGATGGGAGAGGGGGGGAAAAAAAACCCCACACATTAAAACCATTCAGGACCAGCAGCAGGCAGGAAATATTTTCGCGGAGGTGCTGTAAACTGAATTTATTCCCTTAATTATAACTTGAATTATTCCTACTATCCCCGGATTCTCCTCTTAGCTTCACCTTTTTAGCTTCACCTTTACTTTTCCCTTCGTCTTTTTAGCTTCGCCTTTGCCTTTTCTCTTTGCCTTCGCCTTTTCTTTCTAGCTCTGCCCCCCAGCACCGGATCAAACTCCAAACTCTCATTTTCAGGGCCCAAAATCTCAACACAGTCTCATTTTAAGGAGCAAACTGTCATTTTTAGAGTCAAAAAGCTCATTTTTAGGTTCCAAAATGGAAGTTCAGGGCCCAAACTCTTCTTTTTAGGGCCTAAACTCTTCTTTTGGGAACAAACTCACATTTTTACAGCACAAAGTTTAATTTTAGGCACGTAACTCTCATTTCTTGAGCCAAAATTCCTATTTTCAGGGCCCCAAATCCCATTTTAGGGCCAAAACTCTCGTTTTTAGTGCCTAAACTCTCATTTTTGGGCCCAAACACACATTTTTGGAGCACAAATTCTAATTTCAGGGCATAAACTCTCTTTTCTTGAACCAAAGCTCTCATTTTCAAGACCCAAAGTCTCAGTTTTCGGCACCAAACTCTCATTTTTAGGGCCAAATCTCCAATTTTCAGGCCCAAAATCTCAATGTAGGGCCTAAACTCTCCTTGTAGGGCACAAACTCTCCTTTTTAGCACCCAAATGCTCATTTTGAGGTTCCAAAATCCCATGTTAAAACCCAAACTTTTTTTTTCTGGGCTCAAATTCTCCTTTTAAGGTCAAAAATCTCATTTTTAGGGCCCAAACTCTTCTTTTTGGGCTCAAACACATCTTTAGAGCACAAACACTAACTCCAAACTCCATCGAAATGCGAGGAAAAAAGGCGCTTTAACCGACGGCGTTCGATCCCAGCCGGCGCAAACCCGCGCCTGCGATGGGCTCGCGGGAGACGTCAGCGGCGCTGCCAGGTAAATATGGCAAAAATTTATGGCCAAAATCGTGCTGGAAGGGATCGAAATAGCGGCTACGGAACCGAAACGCCCAGTAAAAGCAAAATATACAACCCTCCTCCCCCCTACTCCCGCAAAGCATTTAATAATTCAGGTAGAAAACAGTCCCTGTATCTTACAAAAACACTACAGGGCTCTAAAAAACACGAAGAAAATCGGTATAAAAGAAGCGAAATAGAACCTGCAGCACAACTTCAACGCGGTTCAGTCAACGCCGGGTCGCGTTTTTTAAGGCAGGGGTTGTTGCGTGTGACCCCAACGAGGCTCCCGCTGCCCTCCCCGAGCTTTGGGAGCTCCTAAATCACCCGGAAGGCCTCGGCGCGTCCGTTTTTAACGCCAAATCAAGCGCCGCGAGGTGCAATTCGTGGCGGCCTCCTGTTGCTCAAAAGGACACTTGGGCAGCTGTGAGTTATCAGAGGCGGCGCTTCAGTTTCGCCCCATTTCGGGTTCAAGCTTAATATTTGTGGTTTAGTGATATTTAACCTCCTTAAATCTCTCAAAAACCCACTTTTTCTTTCTTTTTTTTCCCCTCCTGACAGGAGCTCCCAAATCTCTGCACCTCTGCGGTAAAAAACCGGCTGTCAGCTACGAGCGCAGGCGACGCCGCGGCAGCCGGAGGACGTAAGGCAACCTTGTTTGGCGTTTGGTTTGCTTCAAATCCCCTACAGTTAATCTACAACAGCCACACAAAAAAAACCAGACAACAGAGATATATACACGTTCCTCCTTCCCCGTGCCCGCAGGTGGGGGTCTCCCGAAATCCGGCCCTGCTCGCTCGGTTTGTGCGCGGCGAGGAAACCTTCGCTCTGCGTAATTGTTCTTGAAAGCTGAATTTTTAGGGGAGGGAATCAGCAGAAGCTGTGAAGTCCTTCTACAAAAACACAACCGCCATCCTTCCACCTATCACAAACCCCTTGGGGTTCTCTCAACGCCCAAGCCCTGCTCATTAACCCCCTCGTTTCCCTCCACCGTCACCCTGCGCGCTAATTAGCGTATCCCTACAGGAATTAATTGTATAAACATTGTATAAACCAGGCCCTCGGGCGTCTCTGGGGGCGCAAGAGAAG